TCAAAGATATCCGTTTGTGCAATAATTGAGGCATTTCCAWGCTTATTCTCATACGAAAAACATCAAATTTCTTCACCTACTTAATCGCTTTCCGGTCGCCATCTTGGTCAGCGGTTTTTGAATTGACATATATTTTCAAATCTTCATGAAAGCCACATATTATGTTGATTTTTTAAGATATCAAAAGAGTAACAGTAGATTTAAGAGGGGGGACGAGTTGAAAAGTTCTGTATGTAATAATATATAAATCACAAATAGCAAAAAAAAAAAAAAAAAAAAAAATGAATTGAATATCTAACTGATGTATGTTACATAACTCAGCTCGAGTCGACTTTGGCAACTCAGGATTTTAACCCTATTGCTCATTTAGGTCATGATAGCAGAATGTTTGGCCAAAAAGTATCCATGCGACGGACAAATTTCTGGGTCTTCTTGGTAKTTGTCGGCATTGCTCTCTTCGMTKTACTGTATTCTTACAACCAAGTTATCTTGCCAATTCAAAAAAGKGTCACTCCAATTTTACCCTTGTGTCATAATGTTCTACAAGTAATGCGCGAAGGTTCGTGGATTAAAAAGCCTTATATAACAACAGATGACTTCAAACGACGGTACGACATGAACATCRTTCTGCGAAAACATCGAGGGCAGCCAGCTTATCTCAATCGGAGCGACTTTCGATGTGGGATAAATTATACCATCTATGCGCCAGATTTCGGCCCTAAAATACCAGCACTGTGCATGCGTAATAGTGACAGGCATTGCTGTAACTCTGATGGACTGTGCAGTAATGGACAAGGCAACTGCTCATGCGCAGAATGYACGGATTTTCGAAATATTGTGGAGGCCGAGTTGTATGATTGGCTGCCATTACGCTGCAAAATCATGAACTATAGTAGCGATGAGTCATGCGCAATGGTTGGTGAGAGATTGACCAATCTAGTCGTCGTTGGAGATTCCTTGATGCGTCATTTTTTTGCTGCTTTAATGTTAATATTTACTGGTGATTCAAACACAGGCGTGTTACGAAAACATTTAGCCCACTGCATGGGGGAAAGGCAATTTGTTGATCGCGGGAAGGCAAATTGTCATACTTTCATCGCAAYGAGCTCGGAARAGAAAAAGGGAAAATTTTGTCAAGGAAAAGCGAAATTCAGTCTCGTCTTTAAAGAATACTACAACTTAGATCATGCAGAGAAAATTTTGGCTGTAGTTAAAAAACATCTTAATAGATCAAACTCGTTGATCGTATTGGGMATTGGTATCCACAATGGATTGAATGCTGAAGAGCACCAATCTAAGCTTATTGATCCGATATTAAAGGTTATTGGATCACGAAAGTGGCCACGTCTACTCTGGACTACCACGCATGCGCAAGGATTTCTCAAGCCATCATCGTTTAGAAAGATGGGGCAAAACAATGACAAAATTTCCCAGTACAATCGAGTAATGCGTGATAAGCTAAAACAGAAAGGGGTAGAAGTTTTTGATGTTTTTCCGATGACTAAAGATGTTCATAGTTACGATGGCACGCACTACGGTTATGGCATGAACATGATCAAAGCACAATATCTTTTAAACTATATTCAACAAACTATCAAAGCGAAGTAGCTATTATTTGGTATGGTAGGGTCAGGAGAAGGGTGGGAAATGGCATGAATATGATCAAAGCACAATATCTTTAAAACTATATTCATCAAACAATCCAAGAAACGCCAACAATGGCCAATTTTTGATCAAAATGCATGGGCTATAGCTCTCCAAAA